TGTAACAAAATACATATGACTGGGTAACATTATAAAGAAGAGAGATTTGGACTGGGGCTGTAGCTCAGCAGCAGAGTGCTTGCCTAGCATGCGTGAGGCACTGGGTTTGATCCTCAGCACCACATAAATATAAACAAATAAAATAGAAGCATTGTATCCATCCACAACTACAAATTTTGTTTTTTTAAATAAAGAAAGAAGGGAGATTTATTTAGCTCACAGTTTTGGAAGCTGAAAGTCCAAGATGGGATGGCTCCACTGGCTTGGTCTCCAGTGAAGGCTAAAGGCAAATGGCATCATGGCAGGGGTGTGAGCAAGAAGGGGAGAACACATTACCAGACAGAAAGCCAGGCTCAATCTTTTGTAACAGCTTGCTTGCATGACCTAACTCAGAGGTCCCACAAGAACTGCCTTATTCCCTTCTGAGGGCAGCACCCTCAATAACCTAAGAACTTCCCACTAGGCTTCACTTCTTAGAAGTCCTACCACCTCTATACCGTTAAACTGAGGAGAGAGCCTCCAACACATGAACTCTTGATGGACAAACCACATATCAACTATAGCACTTCTCAAGACTCTCTATCCTTCTCACTTGGCTTTATTTTTCTTGATACATAGTGTCTCTTTCCCAAATGCAATATAAGCACCTTAATGATTTTGTCTTGTCCTCAGTTCCTAGTATAGTTAATGCCATCCACATGCTAGGTGCCAAATAAATAATATAACTTAGCATTTCTAGAAAATCTTTATTTTTCAGAGAGCTATATAGAATACTAAATTATATTTAATTTTCTAAATAATGAGACTAAAATTCACTCAATCAGTTATGCTATAGCTAAAATCCAGGTTTTGCCATCTCAATCCAGGGATCCAAGCTGTTTCAGAACAAATATTAATCCTCACCCTGAAGATGGGGAAATTCTGATAAAATATTGCTAGGGACACTGGCAGAGGTCATGCTATCTAATCACACTAGAAGTCAGATTTCCCAGTTCCTAGCAATTGTAATGGCCCTGAGAGGTTTTACTCTTATCTCTGAGGAATCAATAAAGTCTTTACTATAATATTGTTATTTGAATTTTTATTTTCCCTGTCCCACAGTGTTTTTCCATCTACGTTTTACCCTGTCCTTTAGAGGTCAGAATTATTCTGTTGCTTGTTAAGAAAGTAATCACTACCTTCCCAATGAGCTAAACTTCTCATCTCAAGTCTCCATAACAATGAGCTTGGGGCCAGGCCATTTGCGCCTGTAGACCATGAAGCCCCCAGTGCAATGGAGCAAACCAGCACCAAGGAAACAGCTTGCATAGCTTGTTAGGTGACCTCTATTGCAGATAATTTTTTTTTTCCTCTCTGGAACAACTGTGGTTTACTATAAGTGATTTCAGTCAGAATAAAGAGGAAAAGCAGCCTGAATTTAAAAATTGTTTCTTTGTTTTGAACACAGTTTTTTCCTCCACACTATATGAGCTGGGCTCTCTGTCCCTTGGGCTCTGTACAAATAAACAGAGCTGCTGAGGGAGCATGGTAAGTTGATTTTTGTAGTTACAGGCTGTTCCACATCATCCATTTACAAGGTCAGTGGGGACCACAGCTTACCAACACAGAGAACTATGTAATTTAACACAAAGAAATCTTGATCTATCAGAAACATGTGAAGACTCTTCAGGGTTTCTAAATCACTTATATTCCTGACTGTAGTGGAACAACATATGCCAGAGGGTAAGGAAAAAAAGTATATGGATTAGAGGATCAAAATAGCAAAGTGCTATAAATTTATTTTTATAGCCCTGTATGAATAGATCCACATTTATTGGAGCTCTGAGCTACATCTCCTAACTGAGGAGTTTAGGGACAATTCCAGATTTGGATGATTTTGGGGAAATAAACATGTAATTAAAGTTGTAGATGTAAAAGTGGTTCCATACTAATGTTTTTGGAGAGGGGATAGTGGTTCAGAAGTGCTAGCCTTGAAGCCAACCTCCTGAAGAAAAAAGGAGGTGTTTCCAAAGAAGGCTGGGCTGAAGGCAGCATGGGCCAGTGTATGACCTTAGATAGTTATTTAACCCCGTGAGCCTCACTTTCCTCTACTGTAAAAATGGAGGTAATAACAGCTTCTACCTCATAAGACTGTCATGAAGAATAAATAAGTTAAAGCATGTAAATCCCTCAGTCTAAGGATGGAAGCCATGTGCAGTGATACCTGTGCTAGTGGTAGAGGAGCTGAGCTAGATGAGGGGTGAGATAGTAAAGAAGTCAGAGGGTGTTTAGAACCCAGGAGATAAAAAGGACTAGAAAAGAACCTTGAGGGCAGCTGTGAGTGTAGTTCAGTGGCAGAGCATGTACTTGGCATGCAAGAGGCCCTTGGTTTCATCCCCAATACCAAATACAAACACCATGCCAGACACTGTGGTAGTGCCCTATAATCCCAAAGACTTTGGAGGCTGAGGCAGGAGGATCACAAGTTGGAGACCAGTCTCAGCAATTTAGTGAGGTCCTAAGCAACTTAGCAAGAATCTATCTCAAAATTAAAAATTAAAAGGTCTGGGGTTGTAACTCAGTGGTAAAGCACCCCTAGGTTCAATCCCCAGTACCAAAACACCATAGAAAACACCATGAATGAGGGGATTAATTAGGATTCAAGAGGCTGGGAGAACACCTTTTCTTACCATGAAGAGCTGAATCAAGAGGAGCCAGGCTAGCTCTTGGGCTTTAGTTGGCTGTGAGAGAGGGTTCAGCTTTAAGCCAGGGAATGAACCAGGCTCTGAGAACAAAAAGACCTTTTTATGCAAGGACCAAAAAAAGAAAAAAAAAAAACTAAGAAAAATAACCTAATATGGACAAGTGTGAAGATAGGGATAATGATGTTTTGTTGTAGGAAAGTTTTCAATTTTACACTTTCCCCTCTGAAATTTCCAGAATTTTGGTCTATGGAATAAACTGACATTGTACAAAAGGTACACAAATTTATTAATGTGTATATAATAAGCACAGAAGCCATATATAGAGTATGAGACTCAAGGACAAGATACCTGAACCTTATATAGAGCTAAACAAAGGGATCAGGGCTTGGGCTTCTAGAGGTAAGGAAGGGACAGACTATGGAAGGTTTCAAAAAGAAGGTGCACAGTGGGTAAGGGATGCCTTTTTTATGCAAACAAAGTCATCCAGGTAACAGCCACCAATTCTGGGTCAGTTGTAAGACCCCTAGTCTCTTCTTCCTATGGAAAATATCTTTCCTAGGCAGAAGGGAGCTATCAGAAAAATTTTTGTCTATAGGGTGAGGAGACACACACCTATAATCCGACATACCAGAGACTGAGGCAGGGGATTACAAATTTGAACCCACTTGGGCAATTTATCTCAAAAGAAAATAAAACTTCAAAAGGGCTAGGGAGGGCTGGGGATGTGGCTCAAGCGGTAGCGCGCTTGCCTGACATGCATGCTGCCCGGGTTTGATCCTCAGCACCACATACAAACAAAGATGTTGTGTCCGCCGAAAACTAAAAAAAAATAAATATTTAAAAAAAAAAAAAAGAAGGGAAAGTTTATTTAAAAAAAAAGGGCTAGGGACTGAAATTGAATTCCATGCATGTATGAGTTTGTAGGGATGAACCCAACTTAAAGCTCTAATAAAAATAATAAGTAAACTGGAAGCTATGGAGCATGCCTGTAATCCCAGCAGTTTGGGAGGCAAGTCAGGAAGATTGCAAGTTCAAAGCCAACCTCAGCACAAGTGAGTCACTAAGCAACTCAGTGAGACCCTATCTCTAAATAAAATTTAAAAATAGGGCTGGGGATGTGGCTCAGTAGTTGAGTGCCCCTCAGTTCAATCTGTAGTACCCTCCACTCCTAAATGAGTGAATAGATAGATAGATAGATAGATGTGAAGTTCACTGGTACTAGTGCTTTTCTAGCATGCATGAGGCCTTAGTTTCAGTCTCCATTACCACACACACACACAGCCTCTGTCTGCATTGCTGTTTACAAAGGCAGATTTCTTTTTACAAAAGGACAGCTTTTTGGAGCCATTCCTATGTCTGCTGAAGTCTGTAGTTTCTCTGAAAAACAAAACAAACAAACAAACAAACAAAAACTTGAAATATGTACAAGAAATAAATTAAGGGTGAGATGTTTTAATCTCCCTCATAATAAATGTTAAACAACCAGCTGGGAGTGAGGTGTAGAAGCCTAATTTGTACCACTCGCTAATTTCCCTGGTGTAAATACATCTACCATCACTAGACTGAGGATGTAACTCAGTGGTAGAACACATTTTTAGCATGCATCAGGTCCTGGGTTTGATCCCCAGCATTAAAACATTGCTGACTTCAAGCTACCCAGGTAATGTCTAGCTGGCTCATGAAATTCCTAAAAATCCAACAATGGGCTTTAGCAGGCTCCAGCATACCAATGAGTGGGGGATTAGCACAAAAGAATTATAAGGGGGTGAGATGAGGGAGTGGGAAGACTTGGGCAGGCACTGAAAGAGGCTGATAGCTTTCAGCCAAATTTAACTATCAGACTAACAGGAGACTATTCTTTGCCTCTTAAGTTTCCTAACTGTAATTTTGCCATGATATTATCTCATATTGAGGCTCTATTTTCCTAATTTTGTGGGAAAAACCAAATACTTTGTGTACTTGAAAATGGTTATTCTGTGTCCTGGGTGCATGCAGAGGGGGAAGGAAGAAACAGCCAGAAAAGTGAAAGGGAAAAGATTACCCTGAGATTCAGAGACTCTAAGAAAACCCTCACTGTCTCAGCTGATGACAAGAAGTTATAATCACAAAGAAAGAAAAACCCTCAGGGAACTTCCACTTTGGGCTCCTTGAGTACTTTTTATGTGTATGAATAAATAAGATTATTAAATAAACATTGTTATAAATAGAAATGTTTTCCAGACTCCAGTATATAGTCCACTTACTAGAATCAAGTAGATAATTGAAGACATAAGACATAATTTTCTTTCTTTCTTTTTTTTTTTTTTTTTTAACCAGGAATTGAACCCAAGGATTCAACTACTGAGCCACAACCCAGCCCTTTTTCAATTTTTTTTTTTTTTTTTTTTTTTAATTTTGAGACAGGATCTCACTAAGTTACATTGGGCCTTGCTAAATTGCTGAAGCTGGCCTGGAATTTGTGATCCTCCTGCCTCGGCCTCCCAAGCCACTGGGATTATAGGCATGCACCACCATGCCCAGAAAATTAAATTTTCTGCAAGAAAAATTTACCTGTGTGGTCTAAAGGAATGGGGGAGGGGGAGTTTAACAAACTGGTTATTAATTATAAGAAATATTAGAAAGAACTTACAAAAGAAGGCTTGGATGTAGTGATACAGGGTGGAAATATAGAGCAAATGCAACCTACTCAGTTATATTGAGTCACTGGGAGGAAAGGATTCCAAACCATTGTATTTTTAGGAAATGCAAAGCAGGTCAGAACAAGCCAAATGAGACCTCATTGGAAAGACAATGTGAATTTTCAGAGATGATAACCAATCTTCTGTGGTAATCTTCCAAAGTGGAGTTAGCATGGCATCAACGAGGTCCTGGTGAAAAGGAAGTGGCCAAAACACTGCTCAGATCAGTAAGGAGAACTTGAAAGAATTTGTAAAGCTGTGCTCAGAGGTCCATACCTGTAATCCCAACTACTCAGGAGGCTAAGACAGGAGGATCACACCTTCCAGGCCAACCTGGGCAACTTAGACCCTATCTCAAAATAAAATTTAAAAAGTGGCAGCAGAGGTGTAGAGGTGTGATGGGAGGAAAGGTGGCTGACATGTGGTAGAACACTGGCCTAGCACATAAGAGCACTTGGGTTCAATCACCAAAAAAAAAGAATGTATTACCTAGAAAAAAATGTCATGCTATTTTGTACTTACTAGGGGTAAAAAGGAAAAAACAAACCGCCTTTTAATACATAGATTTAATTTTTTTTTCTTTTTCAATATTTCTTTTATGGGCTAGGATTGTGGCTCAGCAGTAGAGCACTCGCCTAGCATAAGATTATGCTTTTGGCCTTGGGTTCAATCCTCAGCACCACATCAAAATAAATAAATAAAATAAAGACACTGTGTCCAACTACAAATAAAAAATAAATTTAAAAAATTTCTGTAGAGCTCATGTATAATGGCATAATTTGGTGTGAACATACTTTATATACAGAGTTACAAAAAATTAAGCAGTGAATGGATAATTATAAATATAATGCACTCCACTATTGTCATGTATGTAAGAAATAACTTTTAAAAAGAAAGAAAAAGATATATTTTAAAACTAAAAAAAAATTCTTTTAGTTGTCAATAGACCTTTATTTTATTTATTTATATGCAGTACTGAGAATCGAACCCAAGGCCTCACACATGCTAGGCAAGTGCTCTGCCACTGAGCCACAACCCCAGCCCTTAAAGCACAGATTTTTAAAATGCTTTTATTAGAGGGATTGGGGGTATAGCTCAGTGGTAGAGTACTTGCTTACCATGCCCTAGGCCCAGGGTTCAATTTCCAGCATTGCAAAAGAAAAAAATGTTTATTTTAAAGAAGTTTGTTGAATGCAAAGAGTCCTGGCTATCCTTTGGATGTCTTAAAAGTCAGACAAATTCCCTTTGTTTTTTCTTTTTCTTATTATACTAGTAGTAAGCTTGCCTTAAGATAACAAATTCAATAAATGTCTTTTCTAGGACTTCCTGTCCCTATGAACTACAGTGAGTAACAGTAATTGGCTTAGGAAGAGGGCCTAGAAGAAAAGACAACTCTTCTTTTTTCTTTCTTATTTATTGATTGATTGATTGATTGATTGATTGCAGGACAGGGGATTGAACCCAAGGGTGCTTTACCATTGAGATATATCCTCAGCCCTTTTAATTTTCTTTTTCTTTCTTTTTTTTTTCCTTTGGTGGGGGGAGGTAGTTGTAGATGGACAGCATGGCTTTATTTTATTTTTATGTTGGTGCTGGGGATTGAACCTAGTGAGAGGCAAGACTCTGCCACTGAGCTACAGCCCAGCAGCCCCCTTTTAATTTTTTGAGACAGGATCAAACTTACCAACTTCAAACTTGTCATCCTCCTGCCTCAGCCTGCCCAATCTCTGGATTCACAGGTGTACACCACCTCACTAAACACAACTCTCATTTTAGGCATTTATTCTGAGTTCTACCTCTTATGGTTTGAGGTAAATCATTTCAAGTTCCAGGACCTGATTTCCCACTGTCAATAATAAATAACTTTCTTAGCCAGGCATGGAGGTGCTTGCTTATAGTCCCAGAATATAGGGAGGCTGAAGCTGGGGAATCACTGGAGTTCACAAGTTTGATAACAGCCTGGGCAACATAGAGACCCTGTCTCAAAAGTGAAATAAATAATTTTTTTTTTCTTTCAGTACTGGGGATTGAACTCAGGGGCTTATGCATGCCAGAAGCACTCTACCACTGAGCTATATCCCCCAGACCTTTGTATTTTTATTTTGAGATAGGATCTTGCTAAATTTTCCAGGTTAGTTTAAAACTTCTGATCCTCCTGTCTTAGCCTCCCTAGTAGCTGGGATTACAGGCATGTGACACTGCCTTTGGCTCCAATTTCTTCCTTCCTTCCTCCCTCCCTTCCTCCCTCCCTCCCTTCCTCCCTTCCACTCAGGAGCACTCAATCATTAAGCCACATCCCCAGCCCTATTTTGTATTTTATTTAGAGACAGGATTTCACTGAGTTTCTTAGCACCTCACTTTTGCTGAGGCTGGCTTTGAACTCATGATTCTCTTTCCTCAACCTCCTGAGCCACTGGGATTACAGGCTTGTGCAACCGCGTTGAGCACTTGCCTAGCTTGCTTGAGGCCCTCAGTTCCATCCCTAGCATCACATACACAAAATAGAACAAAACAAAAACCTTACTTTTGAAGATTTTACCAAGGCATTATTGGAGTAGATAATATTTTGTTATAAATTGTTATATGAACACAAAACATTCTTATACCTTATTTATTTGTAACATGTAATTTATAACTGAGTACAAATTCCTCAGTATTACTAGTATTTTAGCACAGAAAACAGTTTTTTAAAAATATTTAAAGGGCTGGGGATGTGGCTCAAGCGGTAGGGTGCTCGCCTGGCATGCGTGCGGCTCAGGTTTGATCCTCAGCACCACATACAAACAAAGATGTTGTGTCCGCCGAAAACTAAAAAATAAATATTAAAATTCTCTCTCTCTCTTTAAAAAAAAAGAATTAAAAAAATATTTAACTTTTTTTAGTTATTAATGGACCTTTATTTTATTCATTTATTTATATGAAGTGCTGAGACTTGAACCCAGACTCACCACATGCAAGGCAAGCACTCAACCACTGAACCATAACCACAGCCCCAGAAAACAGTTTAAAAATTTTTTTTTCACAATAATTTTATTCTATTTATTTATTTTTATGTGGTGCTGAGGATCAACCCATTGCCTCACACGTGCTAGGCAAGCGCTCTATATACAGCTCCAGCCCCTGAATTCTTTTGTTTTTTTTTTTTGAGACAGGTCTCACTGTTACCCAAACTTGCAATGCTCCTGCTTCAGCCGCCCAAGAAGCTGAGATTACAGGTGTGTGCCCTTACACCTGGCATTTTCCTTTTACTAATGTTTGTGGATATGCTATGTGCCAGCAATTTATAGACCAGGTTCTCAATGGGAATGGTGGCACATGCCTATAATCCCAACTATCTGGGAGGCTGAGGCAGGAGGATCACAAGTTCCAAGCCAGTGTGGTCAATTTATCTCTGTCTCGAAAAGAAAAATAAAAGGACTGGAGATATATAGCTCAATGGTAGTACAGCTCTCAGTTCAATCCCCAGCACACACACACACACACACACACACACTAGTTTAAGTTCTCCTGATCCAGAATAGGTATGTGTTGAGGGCCACAGCTGAGTCAGGATGACGCATGGCATATTGCCAGAAGGGAGTGGTTGAGAGGTGAGGCCAGTGAGCCATTGAGATGATGATGGTTATGTTAAGCTGTGTATTCAATTGTATATTTGACCTTTACTATCCGCTACTTTGGAGTTCCTGTGGAGTTCTCACGGGGTTCCGAGGGAGAGTGTGCTCGGACCGGACCCGGACCCCGGTGGTGAGGAGAGTGTTCCCGGGGAGCGTGTGTGGAGTGCTGGTGGAGTTGCTGTTTTGAACCTACAAGTGCTTCGTGGTGGCTCGGTTATTTGTGGCCAGCCAGACTGCGGCAGATATGCTTCTTTCCTTTAAGCATTGTAACACTCCATCAAAATCCCAATCTATAATGTACTGGTGACTCTTAGAACCCTTGACTGAATGAAACATGTTTTCACCTTTGCTCATTTTGCATAGCTCACATGGACTGCAGAAGCTGAGTCTCAGCTTTAAAGGATGTTAAGTTGGAAGAGGCTTTACAGATAATCTGTCCAATCCCCCCATATTTCACATGTACACCATGGAGTCTGAGGAGGAGAAATGTCTATCCAAAATTATAGAGCTAAAAGTAGCAGAGCACTGAACTAGGTCTTCTGTCTCTTTGTTAATAATTCAAAATGTTGGGACTGGGGTTGTGGCTCAGTGGTAGAGGGCTTGCTTAGCATGTGTGAGACGCTGGGTTATTCTCAGCACTGCATATAAATAAATGAATAAAATAAAAGTCCATCAACATCTAAAAAAATAAATAATTCAAAATGTTTTTAGTGAATTCTGGAAATTTTCAATCAGAAAGTAAAGTCAGTTTCTGCCTCTCTTCACTCAGTAATGTTTAGAATAAAGATCTGTTTATATAAAGGTTAAAGTTTTAACTATCTACCCAGGAATGTTTTCCCCTCCAAAAAAATTCCAGCAGAGGGCAGCAAGCCTAAATGTGAATCCCAATACTTAAGATGACTTTAAAATGCAGAGAGGCTGGCTACTAAGGAGGCTGAGGCAGAAAGATCATAAGTTCTAGGTCAGCCTGGGCAATTTACTGTCTCAAAATAAAAAGAAGGGCATCATGGGGCACACCTCTAATTCCAGCAACTCAGGAGGCTGAGGCAGCTATTCTTGAACTTGGGTCCTATCAAGAACAGCTTCTATAAGTTAATGAAATCCTGTCTCAAACTAAAAAAATAAAAAGGGCAGGGAATGTAGCTCAGTGGTAGAAAGCCCTGGGTTCAATCCAGTACTGGAAGTAAAAAGGCTCACCCCTGTCTGGGGGCCTTTGTTCCAACTGCTTGACGGTTCTAGGACTATACTCCCAGGTTAAATACATGACATTTGAGTCTGTTCAAATCTCACATATTAAAATTAATGCTGGGGCTGGTGTTGTGGCTCAATGGTAGGGCGCTTGCCTCGCAACTGCAAGGCCCTGGGTTCCATCCTCAGCATCACATAAAAATAAATAAAGGTATTGTGTCCAACTACAACTAAAAAATAAATATCTGAAAAAAAAAAAAACTAATGCTGCCTACCTTGTTATATTGCAGCTTCCTTCCTGCTCCATGCCCAGCACACTCATTCTCCTTTATTTTATTTGTGTGTGTGTGTATGTGTGTATATATAAATTTTTTTTTTTTTTGAGGAAAGGGTAAAGGATAGTTTGTTGCTTTGCCAGCAAAGGAGAAACACGTGGGGACTCCTGCCGCAAAGGCTGTGATTCTGCCCATTTGCAGGAACAGGGGCTTTTATAGAGGTGATTCAGAGAAAATGAGATTAGGGAGAAGAGATCAGGAAGGAGATCAGGGAAAAGAAGATCAGGGAGAAGAATTTTAGGGCATAGAAGATCAGGGAGAAGTTTAGGGAAAAGAAGATCAAGAAAGAGAAGTTTAGGGAAAAGAAGATTTGGAAAAAGAAATAAGCATGTAAGTTTGAAAGCCACAAGGGATATAGTCAAAGTATCAAGTGAACCCCTTTACAAATTCCCCACTGTCAATTTCTAGCTTCCATGTCTATGGAAAGTGGATGATGACATCTCCAAGCTACTTCCTGCTGGTAGGGGCCATGTTGGGGGAAGTAACCCAAAGTCCTTTTTCTCTATCAGGTGGGGTGTGGACAATTAAGGGCATTCAGAATCAGATCAGTCCAGAGGTCCACAGTGGCAGATGGCTGGTGACTGGACAAGGCATATATAGGGCAGGGATATTCTATATTTTTCTATAGCATTCTTCACTTTCTAGCAATTAGATAAGTTTTTAAAAATATTTTGTTAGTTGTCAATGGACCTTTATTTTATTTATTTATATGCAGTGCTGAGAATCAAACCCAGTGCCTCACATATCCTACAGAAGCACTCTACCACTGAGCCACAACCCAGCCTCCAATTAGATAATTTATGTATTGAGTTTACTGTATCACAAGAAAGACTTACAACAAATTTAGTTTAATGATCTTAATTATCTTGTGATTTTGTGATTAATCGGATTTTGTAATTCTAGAATTAGGCAATATCTCACACTATATTAAAATAGTTAAGTGTGCTGATGAGCTGAGAAGAGGACATTGTTTTTTTTAGACAGAAAAGAATTGAAAAAAGCAAAAACAACAAAAAAGTGCATTGGTCATTTCAAAGTTACTTTCATTGTAAAGACAGGATGGGAAGACAGAACAATAGAAAAATAAGCCAGACATGTTGGCCTATACCTGTAATCAGAACTACTCTGGAGGCTGAGGCAGGAGGATCGAAAGTTAGAGACCAGTCTCAACAATTTAGAGAGACCCTGTTTGAAAATAGAAAAGGGTTGAGGGGCAAAAAAAAAAAAAAAAAATCCAAAAAACAAAAAACTTGATTGGTTAATGTTAGGAATATTAGGTTCCTTTTTTTTTTTTTTTTTGTACCAGAGATTGAACCCTGGGGCACATAATGGGCACATCTCATCCCTTTTTATTTTTTATTTTGAAACAGGGTCTTGCTAAATTGCTCAGGGCCTCACTAAGTTTTTTTTTTTTTAAAGAGAGAGTGAGAGAGAAAGGGAGAGAGAGAGAATTTTTTTTAATATTTATTCTTTAGATTTCGGTGGACACAACATCTTTGTTTGTATGTGGTGCTGAGGATCGAACCCGGGCCGCACGCATGCCAGGCGAGCGCGCCACCGCTTAAGCCACATCCCCAGCCCGGGCCTCACTAAGTTGCTGAGGCTGGCTTTGAATTTAGAATCCTCCTATCTCAGCCATCTGAGCACTGGGATTACAGGTGTGCACCACCACACCTGGCTAGGTTCCCTTTTGTAAGAACCTAAAGCATAGGGAAGGAACTTCATTATCATGTCTATTGATTGTTTTTAATTATTTGTTTGCTTGTTTTGGCAATACTGGAGATTGAACCCAGGGCTTTGCATATGCTAGGTAAGTACTATACCACTGAACTATATCTCCACCCCTCATACCCATTTAAACTTGTCAGTTTGGGAAATATGGCTGTTATCTCTCTCCTCATGTCTCAGAAGACCAGATAACCTTAGTTTTGATTTGGTAAGGGTTTTTTTTGCAGGGACTATGTGCATGTGTGTGGTACTAGAGGTGGTACTAGGGGTGCTCTACCACTGAATGACATTCCCAAACTTTTTTTTTTTTTTTAATGTTGAGAAACTGTCTCACTAAATTGCCTGGGCTGGCTTGGAACATGATCCTACCTCAGCCTTCTGAGTAGCTTGGATGACAATCATGCACTATGCCATCCTGCCCCATTTTTACTTTTGTGCTGGTCTATTGGGACCTCATATAGGAGCTTAGTTCAAAACAATGACCTCCAATTTTTATTTAACAATTGTTTGGCAGATGCAGTGATGCATGCTTGTAATCCTAGTTACTCCGGAGACTGAGGCAGGAAGAACATAAATTGGACGCCAGCATTGGACAATGTATGGAGACTCTGTCTCAAAACAAAAAGTAAAAATGGGCTGGGATTTTAGCTCAGTGATACAGTGGCACTGGGTTCAATTCACAGTATTGTAAAAAATAAAAACTGTCTTTTCACCATAAAGCCCTCTAGAATAAAACCTCCAGTTGGTTAACATATATATTCCCTAAG